AATCAGAAATCAACCTTCAACAATTACTTAATGGTGATTTCGTGAGCAATTGGACATTTTACAAGAAAAGGCTACCTAGTTAACCAAAATTTTCGACCCATATAGTAAGTACCTCTGGTATTAATTCTACTTCTCCCAGAGGCAGAGACAGCCTGTCTCAGTAGCTGGAGACAGGTAGAAGAGACGTGTCTCGGACGTTTCTTACAGAAGGATCAGCTTCCACGTGGAAACTGTTCATTGGTGCATGACAGTATCTTTGCCTCAAACACCTGGCTCACACAACACAACATTTCGTACATGCAGTAACTCCCCATTCATCAACACAACACAACACAACACAACACGCTCTCTATCTAAGCATGACAATGGCCTGGCCACAGTAGCAGCCGTGCTAGTATGGTAGATGCATCCAGCGATAACTTGCTCCGGTCAAGTTTTTCGTTGACATGACAGTAATAACATGGTGGCACTCCAGCACAACACGGGAAACCATAATTTCGTTGAGTCAAGGTGTCGATCCAAGGAATTGGCAGCCGCAGCCACCAACGGTGCCGACCAAACGCATTGCTGACCAATCTACTGTTACATAACTGAACGAAAATTTTCCTCAAAGGAACTATCGATCGCCTTTCTTTCGCCTTTCTACTGGTCATGGCCTCGGATATTACTGATGTGCGGATTCGTAGCCCTTTTGCTAGGAGCATGCCATGCTGTCATCCTGTCATTGTGGAGCCTTCTTCAAAAGGAGTATCAATCAACGAAGCTAATCAACGAAGCTGAACGAACGAAAACAGCGGCTTCGAATAACAGTTCGATCGTTGGCAAGAACAACAGGAGTTGACCAGTAGAAGCGGTACCTGCAGCAGTAGGCTCCTTGTGATGGTCCGGATTCCGAATGATGTGTTCTTTCAGTTGTGGAAGCATTTTAGATAAACTCATGATGATGATATCATTGTTTCCTGTTTCACGACTGTACAGCAAGGTTTGGAATGGGTTCTTGTACCGGTAGTTCCTTAAGATTGATGTCTCTTTTGTTTTGGTTGTTACCCTGTCGTATTGTTGCTCTTGCCGCCAAGATACTCTAAAGAAGGATAACCTCAACTGTACCGTAGTAAAAGATCACTCCAGGGGCTTACACGTGGAAGAAGATGTGTCAGATAGGAAACGTCCGGGGCACACATTCCCTAAGCATGCTTCCTACTGGTAAAACGTTTAACCTACGCATGCAATGCTTACGGGTTGAAAATTCCATGTTATGGAGGGATGCATGATTAAATTTTGTCTGACAATGTCTGCAGAAGATGGTCAGATGGTCAGAAAGCAGCGAAGAACATCATCTGATGATTGGACATTTTGACATTTTGGCTGCTTCAAGTGAGCTTTCAAGTGTGACACCGAACCATGAGCTGACCATGCATTTACAAATAAATCTACCCAGCTGGCTCAATCTTTCAGCTTTTCTCCTTTTCTCACCTGTTGGATCGTTGGATCACAAGCCACATGTAATTTGAAGTTGGCCAACTCAAAAAGGAATGGAGTTGCAGGAGTACTGGTATTAATAGAAACCAGGTTGCCCACAGATGCAGCTTCTCTGAAAGCTTCTTTTCTCAGCCAGCTGTCATCCATGTACAGACTGTGTTTCAAAAGAACCTGTGCAAGCTGTTTCTCCACAGCCTGAATCCTCCACAGCCTGAATCAGTCTGCTGTTACAACATAAATCTCCCCCTTCAAAGGAACCGCATGCCTTGAGAGAGTGAACAATAAATAAAACTTCATCATCAGAGAAGCAGTAGTTTATTGGGCGTAGCAGTAATGGTACTTCAGTACTGCAGAATGGACAGTAGAGTGTTTCCTTAAATGCACTGTGTCTGAAATTTCACAAGAACATGCGCATGTGTATCTGGACATGTAGGACTGCATGCATATGGCTCTTAATTGCCATTTCACTCCAGCAACAACTCTGTAGAAAGCTACGTCTCAGGGACAAACTAATACTTTTACAGTAGTAAGCTGCCATGTTTTTAAGGGAAGGATCTTTAAGTCTTCTGACTGTCATCCTCAGCTCATGTCTACAGACTGTCATCGGATATCCTCAGCTTGTGCCCAGTGCCAAGGACACTTGTGTAAGTATATTAGGGTGGCAAAGACTCATTCCACAAAGACATGTAGGTATTGTGTAAACTAGGTAGCTTTAATAATATCTATTTTAAGTAAATTATTGAAGCACATCCTTGAGGTGAAGCTGTAATTGTGACTCAGCTGACATTGTGTTTGGACATACATAGGACCACGTGCAAGACTGTCCAGAGCATCCATTGACAGAAATCTTGCCTTGCCTTTCAACGCAAATCTTGCCTTTGCTTTCCACACAAATCTTGCCTTGGAATCACAATATTGATTCCATCACGAAGTGTTGCAATCAATAGACTGATAGATTGAGATTAGCAGATTGAGATTAGCAAGTCCAAGGGCTTGTTTTGCAGTACCAGAGGTTGTTGTTGCCAACAAGTGATCTAGTTGTACTAGTTGTTGTGGTAAGTGAGCAATTGAGTGATGGCTGACCGTGTCATTGTCGAATCATGTTGGACTGACTTTTGAATTTTTCTCCACGACCCACAGGAATCATGGATGATTCTGCCCCTTATGATGATGGAGGTGCCTGGACCATTTATCATTCGAAGACCAGGCGACGCACCAGTCATGATGGAGATGGAAATGATGTAGTCGAAGTGAGTGATGACAATAAAAACTTTACGACTCACAAACCAGGCGCCTACAAGTACACCAAGCAGGGATGGAAGCTGGCAACTGAAGATAGTGATGAAGAACCTGGCAAAGGAAGCAAGACCAAGCCCAAGCCCAAGATCAAGATTGAAACAGATGCGGAGGCGGTGCAGTTGTTCGCTGAGCTGAAGCAAGTATGTGTGAATGCCCCAGACCCAAAAGCGGTACCCGTTGATGAACTTGTTGTATTCATCCCACTTCTCCATGCTGCTCTGTCGAAGAACAAAGAAGGGATTCGAACGCTTCGAGCTCTTGGAAGCAAACCTGACGCTTGCCTTCAGAAGAAAAAGTTGCTGGTCAAGTTCCTGTTTACCAACCTGGAGATCTTCAACAAGTTCCCCAATGCCACAGATGGGTTTTTTCGGACAGCTGTTGAAGCAGGCTCTGGCGCGGGTGCCTGGAAGAATACTATGGGTTTGGTGAACCTCTTGGCAGAGGGAGATACTTTATGTGTGGAATCTCTCATGGAAAATGAGACGCGCCACTCTCTCTACCTCAAATGGAACCAAGGGTTCATGTCCTTCATGCTGGATCGTCACCCAACATACAATGTACTTGCTCCCTTTGCAAAAGACGTGACAAGTGCTGCCAATACCCCAGCTGCATTCATTCGCACCTGTAAGGAAATGTACACTGCAACCAACTGTAAGAACGCCGACGCCCTGGACCTCCTCGACACAACTGTGTACTATCAGGTTGTCACAGGTATCCTCAAGCACTGGCAAGACTATTACGTAAAAGCTGATGCCAAATTGGATATTCGGGATGCATTCAAGAAAATCCAGGATGCAGCAGGTGCCGATGCACAAACTATACGTGTTACCTCACACTTTCATATTGTCCACACAAATATTATGGTTCAGAATTGGGACATCCTTGACGTCTTCGAGAATCTCAAGTATTATATTATCTGGACTCCTGTGGTTGAGCACTGGCTTATGATGTTCGCGGTATGGCTTCGGAGCTTCGAGCAATATGATATGGTGCTCATCACATCAACCTTTTGCACACTCTACAACGGCATCATGGTTGAGAACAAGGACAAGGAGACAATGCTCAGAGGACCTTATGATGACGAGGAGAAGAAAGAAATTCGGAGTTACATAGATATGCTTCAGCAACTCAAGGAGCATGTAGGTCTGAAACCTTACATGGCATGGCTTAAGACCAAACAAGCCCAGAACCTCATACTAGGCACCACCCGGAAGAAGACACCTACTGAGGATACAGTCCCACCTCCTCCTCTCCAATCGGAGGCCTCAGAAGAATCTTGTACCTCGACAGCATCTTGTACCTCGGCAGCATCTCAAGGCTGCATGGCCTCTGGCTCTGCCTCCAAGAAGACTCCTGAGCTGAAGCCGACTCCAGACCCCAATGCCGCGAAGCAATCCGCCGCGAAGGCCTCGGAGCAATCCGCCGCGAAGGCCTCGAAGCAATCTGCCAAGCAATCCGCCGTGAAGCAATCTGTTG